GGTCAGCGAGTCCTCGTCCTCCGCCTCGTCCATGACATGACCGACTGCGCGCTTCGACCGCCGGGCGCACACTGAGCCGAGCGCCGTCAGTCGGAACGACGCGAAGAAGACGAGGACGAAAAGTGCATCGCGTGGCTGCGGCTTTTCGAAAGTGACGACGATCGGCGTCTGCGAAACCGATGCAGCGTCGATAAACACCGCACGAATCGATTGCAGAGACTCGCGTATCGCTGCTTGACAACGAGGCAGAGAGACGACTCTTGCAATTACGGCGCGTGGTTCGACGACCTCAGAATTTGCGGTGACGAATCAACTAATCAAGCTACTGGCACATCACCGTAGCCAGAAATGACGGCTGATAGGCGCCCGTTGCCATGGAGACGAGTCGCGGGAAATCGAAGATAATGGGACGCCATTACAGCGCTCGACACATTAGCTGAGGCGCGGATTATTGCCAGTAATTAGCTAATACAGGTTAATAATCTTGTGGCACAAGGGATGTCCACCGTTGACTTGGCCTCTGCGAGCAGGGTCCACCAAGGGCATGAGACCAGGGACAGAACAAAGGCGTCGATGTCTTAGTGAGTGATCACGTGGACTGCAATGCGAACACGACAGCGACTATCAGCTTCTCGAAGGATTCCGGTCTGTGGAGTCCGTTAAAATTTGCACAGGCCGTCAGTGCGCAGTGATACCAATCTCCAAAACTGACATTTCCTCCACGATTGGTTACAGTAGAGAGCTCACGGGCGAACTTACATGTGGCACTTGCCATCTATCATCACCGGGGTAGACTTACATTTTTTGTTGAAATTCCAAGTGCCAATCGCACGTCAGACCTGCATTTCAGAGGAGAGTCCTGAAGTGGATTGTGGTCCCGCCATCTTGTGCTTTCTGGTCAACTACGCGACCGCCAATGCAACGCACACGCCGCTCTTGTTTATGTTTCATCCCAGACGCCGCCATTTCAGTTCGTTCGCTGCGTCAACAAACCGAAGGCTCGCTGAGTGAAACATCTGAGCGTCTTCCGGTTCTGCGTCTGCTGCAGACCTCGTGACTGGACGTGAACACGTGCACCGAAGGACTACGAGGAATTAGCCGGATAATATGTCGCGAGGATTCATTTATTTTCGCAGTCGCCCCGAGTAACCTCACGTAATCATCAACTTCCCACCTAAAAAACACGCACACGGAACAATGGGGCGAAGTCTGCAAGCCAGAGGCCACTGTGCCCAACCTCACGAGCCGCCACTGACTCCCATCTCGTGGTTTTCCCCGCAGTTCATCCAAACGTTAACCCGTGGACTACGAAGGAAAAGGGCGGCATTCAAATGTTTCTTCCGGGTCGTCGGTCGCCCTTGCGAACTCCTCTCGTCCGCCTTCGAGCGGGCCGCGTGTTCGAACAAAGCAACCGCCGGTCTCAAGTTAATGACACTGTCCGAGATGGCGCTGACAGCGACAAACTCCAATTTCTGAGCCAGACGAATCCAATCCACACCCTCCTTACCTCCGATCCACTCGACATTATCCTCCTCCCACCTGCACCAAAGCCTTCCGAATGGTCTCTGCCCTTCAGGCTCTCCTACCAAAATCTTGTCCTCGCCTTGTTCAGACCAGCCCCGTGACTGTCGCAAGCCTCGTGCCCAATCCGAGCCCTGAGGAGGTAACAATCATTCCGCTCGAAGCACTCCGTCAGTCCACAGAGGCCGGTTTAATCAGCGTGGCCATATGAACAGGGTCCTTCCATCCTTTTCTCGGACTGGGACCTGATCCAGAAGTGGTTTGCCATTGCCTTCTTCTGTGTGTGAATGGAGTAATTGTTGGGATGCCACGGAGGAAAACTCCGTGTTGCCTAGACCACGGCCTTGTCCAACACAAGTTATAAATTCGGGCACCGCCGGGAACTGATAACAAATGTTCGTCTTCCTCACCGTAGGGACATCTTGCGGGTCCGCGCACTACAGTCACGGCGCTTAACAACAGACACGAGAGCGGGGGGGCGGGGTCCCCCCGCGCGCTGCTACAAGGAAAGAAATGCCAAAATCCAGGCAAATCAAATTAACAATTCATGCGTATGGATGTGAGCAATGGCGGTCCTAGTGCAGGAGGAAGCCTCTTTGTCGACGGCAAAGATTTTTCTTTGTGCAGAAGCACTCAAGCCCCTTCCAGATCCGCGATATCGGTCCGACAGGTCTGTTACCTAGGCAACTGGCGCAGTTTCATTCGAGGTTTAGCACTGGCCGTCTTTAAGTGAACAAGGGCACGAAGCTGCCCAAGTTTTGAGGAGAGTAGAAACCACGTAGACTCCTTGGGAATTACAAAGCCAACAGGAAAATAAACAAAACGTACATTCAAAAGATGTTTCACACTCCGTAGTGTGGCTGTTGTCTTCAACTGACGCTACAGCTGATTGAACGCTGTCAAATGAAACAACACCTCCACGTAGTTACGAGTACCGTGTGCAGAGGGCAACAGAAGTCTAGTTTGCAACTAGTTCGAGTTCGTACCACTAGGTGGTAGCTGTGTTAATTCCACATCCTGCCAAACTGTGTCGGGGGCAGAAGATGGGTAGGAACGCCCCATCGATCAGATAACACGCTTCAGCCGTCATAACCAGATGTTTTATGGCGGCCGCCACGTGACAAATGTACCCCGCGAATAATAAAGATAAGCCGGACAGAAAGAAAACACCGAGCATCGCGGCCCCTTTCTCCGCGCTGCAATGGGCTGCCATCTGACAACCATTTCACGAAACTAACCATTCCCACTTCCATCTGGCGTCCGATTTAAGAGCGTCAGATTGGCTGCTGGACGTAAGACGATGCTCTTTACTGTACGCAATACGGCGTTCATTACGTCGTGATCATTAAAATGTCTTCGATTCCACTGTCGTGAACGTCTTGAACCGGAACTGTCGTCAAATAAGGCAGAGCCGTGGTCTATTTGAGTGCAACCCCAGGTGACACAGACACGCACTTGGGGCCAAGCACCTGCCACGGCCGACTCCACCCTCCACAGGCCACGGCCAACGTTCCTCTGTGTCCAAGCACCAGGCCACGGAACCTATACGAATTCCCTGCTAGACGGATGTGACCGATCACGCCATCTTTATCTTCCGAGACACTCAACTCAGTGTGTTCAAATATCAAGGGCTCTCAAAACGGAGAAATCACAACACGGCGTATCCTAGCAACAGCAGGCGCATCGTAAACTTTGACTTAAAACATCCCAACATTACGAATTTACCAATCGCGAAAACTGCACTTCGGTATTCTGCAGTGGAAGCGGCCGTATTGATTCAACATTCTAATTAAACTGCACTTCTAGTGGTCCATCGATACTGACAAAGTAATGCGGCCCACTGCAAAATGCAGGGCTGGAGTTACTGGAGAAAACGACGCGATAGATCCGGAGGCCACTTTCTACTGCAGAAACGCAACTTCGATCGACAGCTTAGGCGAGAACAAATTTCGTCGAGAACTGCCACAGTTCCTTCAGAAACGAGTGCGGCGGTACTACGCTGTCTTGAAACAGACTGTACCCACCCACGCGAGTAATTTCCCGACGAATCGAACAGCAAAGTCGACTTTTACAGCGCGTCGCTCGTAAAGTCGACTTTGAGCAGAATCGGGTCAGTGCCACCGACGCGTCCGAGGTTCATTTTCCCTTCCCAGGGAAGATGATAATATTAAAACGTACGCCGAGATGAAACGTGTCTGTACGAACGCGAAACACGCAGACGAGACAATAACGCGGATAAAAGACGAGAAAATTACCAACTACGGAAACGGGAGGTCCAGGAACGAAATTCTTCCGGTCAGCGACGGGAGAAGGCGAGAGGAAGACGAAATATCGGTAGACCAAGACAACGACGGACCCTTTCCCCGGAATGCACCAACTGCCGACCGCCTTCACCGGCGCAGAAGGAGAGGCCTTTGTGGGGGCGACGGATCGGTCTCTGGGGACGGCGATAAATCAGCAGCGATAAAGAAGCGAGACGCGGGGCGCCGCGGTTCTGCGTCTTCATCGGGAGGTTCACTCACGTGGTTCATTCAACGACGCTGCCAGCCAGTGACAGGAATCGACGGCATTTGCCCGGAGGAACTGAGGAAAGCCAAGCAGAGGCCGTCTCCGGGCCGAGATTTGAATGCGAAGCCGTGGAGGAGTGCCTGATAAGAAGCTGGTCCCTGTGTACCTCGCGGTGTCCATCCCATCCCACAGTTGTTGCGTATTCGCTGTGTTCGGGCTCTCGTCAGTGGCCTCTTCTTCATTAAGTGTGTTACCTGCTAAAATACATCGGCGCCTTCTGGTGCGACTGCAAACTTTAATGACGATTGGCCGTCAACCGCCTTTCTCTGTTTCGCGGGCGCTGACTATAAAAATAGTACGCAGAGATAAATCGATTTGAAAGCCCATCGTTTCGGCACCCGAAGCCACGACTTAAAGTTTTGTCGTTACAGAAACGCACGACGACACTCGTCCGACAACCGGACGACCGAAGGCAAACAGAGGAAGAACGAGTCCCGCCGTGCCCTCCAGTGGAAAGGATTTGGAAGAAGGCGGCCGCGGCCTAACTCTCGAGGAGCACAGGCGATGGCCGTTCGGAGACGCCGGCTCTAATTTCGTCACCCCTGCTATACTGCGTTCCAGCGTTTTTGGCCGCTGAACTTTGTGAAT